TTCCAGAAAAAGGAAAGTGCTGGGGACCCTGTCCTCTCCTTAGGGAGACTGAAACTATAGCAAAGAACTCAGCCAGAGGCTGGGCGGAAGGGGCTGGGGAGTGGGCCCAAGGGAGGAGTTGAACATGGGTCCAAGGTCCGTGCTGCTCAGAGGAAGGAAGGGCTGCTCCCAGCAGGCCACTTCTCCCTGGAGAAGGATCAAGCTGGACTCCGAGAGCCATGTAAACCCGGGGTGAACTGAGTGTAAAAATGGAACAGATTCATTTTTATAAAGCTCAGGGGGAAGTAAGTATTCCCGATACGCACAAAACCATAAGGTGGGAAAAATCTTTTTTAGACATGATACAAAACCCGAACACCGGAACTGTGTGAAGAAGTTGTGAATTTTACAATGCAACCACAACACAGGCCAGGCTGCAGTCTGCAGACACCTGCAGTGTGATGGGCGCTGGGCTCACCCCAGCTGACCACCATGTCAGAGCACAACTGAAATGCAAACCAGAAAAGACATTTGAGTCCTCTGAGAGCAACAGAAGAGCCGTCACAGAACAGGGCCCTCACACTGGCGCGGCCACCAGCGCACAACCCAGTACTCACCCAAGGCTCCTGCTCCAGCCCCGCAGCTCTACCCCCACCCACTCTTCCTTTTTCTTTGCCAGCCACAGCCGCATCCGTGGCAAACAATATGCAAATACAGTTTCCTAAATGAAAATAAGTAAAGGAAAGCAACTTTTTAAAAAACACAATCTCCTCCGAGCCACGGATCGTGGCACACGCATATAATCCCGGTACACGGAAGGCTGAGGCAGGAGGATCTTTGTTCAAAGCCAACATGGGCTACCTACACAGTGAGTCCAAGGTCAGTCTGTGTTGTACAGTGAAAGCCTGTCTCAAAACAGAAACATCATAAAACATTTCCTGACTGTTGTCCTCTAGCCAGTGACACACTCATGCCTTCCTCCCTCTGCAGGAAAGTGCCCCTTCTGGACACCTCCAGCCTTCTCCTCTGCAATGGCCCCAGCCCCTCCCCCAAGTCCCTAAAGGTGTCCAGGCTTTTCTGCAGCTACAACACACACCAAACCGTTTGGTAAAGTTGCTTTAAAGCTGCTTTACGGCTACCTCAGGGTGACGAGGTGGCAGCTGCTTTTTCTCTTCTTTATCACGTCTGGGCACTGCCTGAACTGTTTCAGAAGTGATCAGCCTGTGCTGTTTTTCCAATGAAAGAGAAAAGGCCTGCTTTCATTTTAAATAAAGCCAGTCTCAGCCGCCCCGGCACCTCTCTTGGCAGAGGCACCTTGGGGGACGCAGCAGCTGGGCTCTGAGAAGCGCTCAGGTGACTTCATATTTACTGGTGCAGATTCTGGGTCAGTGGTTTTCTTGCTGGAGCCTCGGAGCTTTCTCTGAGCTTTCCCTTGGGGCTCCTGGGCCTGAGCACCCCACCCTGCAGGCTCCTTCCCTGCACACTCCTCTGTCAGCCCATCAGAGCCTCTGTAAGCCCCACTTGCCTGCAGGAGACTGTGAGGCCACCCCCACCTTCCTGCTTCTTCCTGGGCGGCTCCTTTCACACTGGGGCCTGAGCACATTTGGGAAATGAATGTAATTCCCACTTTAAGGGGGTTAGAAGCATCCTATAAAGATGAAAAGCAGACAAGGCCAGGTACCCCAGCCCTTTTCATTTTCGAGACAGGGTCTCTCAAGTTAACTGGCAGGATTCAAACTTGCAATCTTCCTGCCTCGGCCTTCCAAGTGCTGGGACTACAGACTGTACCAGCACACCAGGCTTTCAACTCTTCAGTAATTTTTAAGAGGCTGAGAACATTTTCAGAGTTAAGACTCTTGCGAAGGCTGAGACGGCTTGCAAGGCCTCTGACTACAGCAGATCTCCATCCACACTAAGGCCAGTCCTACTCAGGAAAGAAAGCGACCCACAACCAAGGTGTGCACAGAGAAAGGTCTACCTTCGGGTCACAGTGCTGCGGGCTCTGCCTGCAGGGCTACCCAGACACCTTCTGCTTCCTGCCCCAGAAGGCCGTGTTTGAAATGTTCTGTAGTTGACAGGAATTCTCTACTTTCATAAATTTAACACATAACCAAACACAAGCTCAGAGGCAGAAGGGCAGGAAAGGCCAGCAGCCAGGGTTGGGGGAGAAGGGACAGCACATGAGAAGCAGGGGGCTTCAGAAGGAGTCCTCCTGCAGGAGTAGGACAGGACAGGAGGCTGAGTCATGACACTCCCTCTTAGTCCACTTTCCTCCCTGGCGGAAGCCAAGTGCAATGGAAGGCGAGCATAAAGCAAGAGCTGTTGCAGCAGCACCCATGGGCTGTGCCGAGGACCAGCAGCTCCTGCGGGGAGAGAGGCAGAGGGCCAGGGACACCACTGTCCCAGGTGCGCTCGCCACCCGGCCCTGGCCACCCACCAGAAGCAGGACCCCATCTTCTCCCGGGGCTCTAGGTCCCGCTCCTGCTTCCACTCTGCCACCCCAGCCCGGCCGCTTCCATCGGGCTCAGTGACTTGGCCCAGGCTCAAGGTTGATGTGTTTTTCCCTTTCCCAGGATATTTTCTTCAGAAGACAAAACAGGCAACAGGGAGGCCACAGCTTGCAGGAATCAGCAGTCACGCAGAATGCAGAGAAAACTGAAGACAGAAGGCACCTCAGCAGGCTCAGTGAGCTGGGTCCCAAGATCAGGGAAGGCCCAGGCAGGGCCTGCCCTGGAAATCTAGTGGCGTCTGCTCATGGGGGAAGGAAAGGAAAGTGAGCTGTCAATCTCCTTTCTCAAATCTCAGCCGGAAGGCAAGATCTGAGGTCTCACATCTGAGGTCTCACAAACAGTATGGACCCCAAAGGACACATGGAGATCAAAAAGGGACTGAGGGAGGGGCCAAGGGAGGCAGAGGCCACAGGACCAACCGTCACAGGCTCACTTTGATGGCCCTGCCTGCCAGGGTCCATTCCCCACCCTCTTGGGGACTCTGCTCCCAGCCCTGTGACAGGGACCTCCTTGGAGCCCCCTCTCTGCAGAGGGACTGTCTAGAAAGTAACCTTCTCAAGGCAGAGCCCAGGCACCAGCACTTGGGTTCGATGTATGTGACTTAGCAAAACATCCATGATGCCTCACTCCTATGAGAGATGCAGACATCAGGTGCTTTTGCTATAAAATCCGAGTCCAGCACCAGCATACAGTTACCCTGCCCCAGAGCTTCCCTGTCATCTCAACTTCTTACTGCTGACTTCAGATAAGGTCAAAACCCTTCCAGATCAAAGCAAAAAGGTCTCCTCGATTCTTCTAAGGCTTTGCACTGAGCTGCAGCCCCAGCCACCACTTTTTAAAAATTTTTGGGACAGGGACTTGCTAAGACACAAACTTGCCACCCTCCTGCTTCAGCCTCCCTGAGTGCTGGCAATAGGCACCCCCACTGTCCGGCTCTAGGTCACCCCCAAGGCGCCGTTTCCACACTGACAGTGTTTATGTGTCGTGAGGAAGGAAAGTCATCTAGCATCGCAGAGACAATGCACCGCCCCCCCAGGGCTCCTGGGGGACGCCCGAACTCCCTAGTGGAAGTGCAGACCACCAGGCCAGCCATCTGCCTTCCTGGGTGTGGAGGAGACAGGCTGAACATCATCCCTTTAGGGCCAAAAAAGAGGCACATTGGGTCACGACATGGGGGCTAGATCAGGCATAAACCAGCCCAGGATACCACAGCCAGCATCAATGAGCTCCAAACCAACTAGGCAGGTGAGCATGTGCGCTCGGGATGGATGTAAAGCGTGGGGGCGATGCCACCTCAGTGCCAGCCCTGCCCTTCCCAACCCCAGCCACTGTCCAAAGCCCAAGGAGGACGCACAGGAGCAGTGGGCTTGGCACAGACTCCAAGGGACAAATCCACAGCCTGAGAGAAAGTCAGACAGACTGACAGCCGTGCCTCTGTTCTCTAAATGTTGTCCCTCTGTGGGCTATGTATGGGAACGGCGGATCCTGAACAGAGTTGTGTTCGCGACACACATCTTATTTCTGAACTCCAGTCCAAGACGTAACGAGTCAGCAGACCCCTCACGCTTTCCCCAGGAGGAAACGGCTGCACAAAACATACTTCCCACGCTTTGTTCTTCACCCACACAATAGGGGCTCTGCCTTCCCAGCAAGTGGCACGCGTCACGTGTCCAAAGACCTTTAAAAGTATCGAAATTATCTGCACCGTGAGACACCAAGATCTGCTCGTGCCAGGATTCCTGCCCCGTGACTCTGCTACCCGGCCCTGTGCTCCCGCGGGAGGGCACCGCCAAGACAGACCTCGGTGCCACCTGCACAATCGCCCTCTGTCTGTCTTTGGCACCGGACCCAAGGGAGTTGCTGAAGGCTGGAGAGATCAGCAAGAGGAAAAGGAAAGGACTCAGAAAGCAAGAGGGCGACCAGAAGGCCAAGAGGCGTGAGCGAGCGAAGCTGAATTAGGAGAAATAAGGACTAGAATCGCCACAGCCCTGGGACCTGGGGAGGAGACTGTGGATGGGGAGGGGGTGACACAGAGCAGAGTGAGGGTGAGGAGAGGGCCTGAGAGCCAGTCCCAGGGCAAGGGGCCTCCACTGGTCACCAAAGACCCAAGTGCCAATGAGAGTAGGAAGAGGGAGGCTGGCACTGGGCCAGGCAGAGAGGACAAGGAGAGAAATCACTGTGGAAGGCACTGGGTACGAGCTCCGAGGCTGGGGTCTTCACAAAGCCCTGCCACGCACATCGCTCAAAGAGTCAGTTCTCCCCTGAGACTGAAAGGCAAGCAGAGAAAAGCAAGCTGAAGCGCTGGGGCGGGGGAGATCTGGAGCAAGCGACAGCAAGTGTGACACAGTCATGGCCACAGGATGGGGAGTGGCACCACCCCATGTGGCCTACGGTGTGTCCCTGATGGGCATGAGGAAGTGGCCGAGGGTAGGCTCTGCCCATCCCCAACTTCCCGAGTCACCCTAACTCCTGGGTGGCCCAGAGGCAGCCACCAAGCCATCGTCCACTCACTTGCTGTGCCCTTCTGTCCATTTCACTGAGCTGGCGCTCCCAGCAGCAACTCTAGAAGAGAAGAAGAGGCGGGGATGGGACAGCAGCGGCGCCCTGGCAGCCCCCACCCCAGGATCTGCAAGAAGCCCCATGATTTGCAGAGACTCGAAGCGGGCTGTCAACCGCGAGTGCTGAGCTAAGTCTTAGCTCCTCTGGGCCCAGCATCAGGAGGAGGCACCAGCGAGAGCTGGACAGAGCCGGCTCTGGGTGCGAAGCTGCAATGCAGTGTGGACAGAACGGGGCGGTCACATGACTCTCAGAGTGCCAGCTCCTCAGCTGTACTGATTCCAGGGAGACTTCCTGAGGATGACTAGGTCCCTTGAGGACCCCCAACCAGGATTCCTGCGTGCCAACAGTGGGTCCCCGGGTCCTCATGTTTGAGTGCAGAGCAGGCCCCACGTCAGCCTGGTACCTGGGCTCTGCACACACCTCCCACGAGGCCTGTGCATGCAGATGGGGGTGTCTCGGGCAGACTCTCCAGGACACACGTGCAGACCCTGACCCTGAGCCCTGTGCTCACAAAGCAGTGCTCCACAGCCAGGGCAGTGCTTAACAGCTGTGATCCCACAAGCAAAACATCACGGTAGAGGAGGGGCAGGGACACAGTAATTCCAAGGGGCCATGCAGCACCCCCCAATTCACAGTCCCCTGTTCCAGACAGAAATCCCCTCTTGGTGTCTCTGAAAGCTTCCTGCTGATCACGACCCACTGGGGACAGAGGACAGCGTCCTATCCTTCAGAGAACCAGGAGAATTCACTAGCACTGTGCCCCTTGGGAGCCTCAAGGTGCCCAGGATGGTTCTGAGGGGTGCAGGGAGACCTTACTTACCCCTTCAAGGTAGCCCCTAAGTTCATCTGGTTCCAGGTCATGCATTCGAGCTGGGAGGTCATCTGGTATAAGTTGTCACTGTTGGGAGAACAGCCAGAGTTAGAAATGCATGCACACACGCGCGCGCAAACACACACACACACACACACACACACACACACACACACGTGCGCACACGTTCTTCCAGAGCTGTGGGGTTTTTGCTGGTCTTCCCAGCACACGGCTCTCCACCTTGCATCCTCACAGAATGGCCTTCACTTCCTCCCATGATCTGGGTCCACACGGCAGCAGGATGGGAGTGCTTTGGCGGCTTTACGCAAACCTGTCTGCACACACCAGAGTTTCCAAAGGTATAAACCTTGCAGGGAAGAGGCTGGAGGGAGGGATGCTTCCAAAGGCAACACAGGCTAGACAACTCAGCACTAAAGTTAAAGGCCTGGAGCCGAGAGGCAAGAGACAGCAGATTAATTATTCGTGAAGAGGCCATTAAGTTGTTTTAATCAAAAGGATAAGTATCCTGTGGATTACGAGGGCTGGAAAGTCAGTCACTGGTGATGGATGGGCAATCACCCAAGGGTACAGCACACAAAGGGAGGACCAGAGAGCGCCATGCAGGCGAGGAATCACACTGGGGAAACTTTATAATCTGCAACAGTCAAGTAGCATTTTTTTTAATCCAAAAAGAAAAAAGGGGGCCAATGTTTCATGAGACCCCAAAGAAAACTACATCAGCAACCATGGAAACCAAACCAAATCCATTCTCTCTCTTTACAGATATCTCATTTCTAGAAACCCAGCTCATACACGCTGTGGTCAAAAACTACAGGAGTGCATTCTTAAAAATTTATCACAATAAAAGACATGTGGCTGTGAAAGCCCCCCAAAACCCTCCCCTCAGTCTATGCACACTCATCCCATCATTCTTGCCACTTTCTGCAGCAGCTCTGGAGTCCTCTTTCCTGAGGGTCTTTAGTCACACTGGTGTGGTCGCCTTCATGTCATAGATGGATTCAAAATGTCACCCTCGTGGGGTTGGCTCTGGGGAAGTTGCCAGATCCACTGAGTAAGGTCAGTGAAGGCACAGTATAAGGTTTCCTGTGCTGCTTTTCTGCTGGACAGCGCTTGGAGGCAGCACTTCAGGTTGACCTTGAGCTCATTTTGTAGCCCAAGCTGGTCTCAAACTTATAACTATCTTCCTGCCTCAGCCTCTTGAGTGCTGGGATTGCAGATGTGCACCCCCATACCTGACTTCACCACATTTTCGATCCTATTGCATTAAGACACAAAAAGGCTTTCTGCTTCAGAAAGTGTAGCAAGCAATAGGATAAATGCATTTGAAGCAGAAAAGAGCATTCTGAGGGGGCTGATGGCAATGCGTCTTTCACTACACTCCATTTCTTTTTCACTTGAACATTCACTGCACATATATTTCAACCACCCTTGTAAATCAATTACCAAAAATGTCCTCCATTGCCAAGCCCTATTAGGAACACTTCAGGCCTGAACTGAAACAGTTAACATGAAATTGAGACCCAAGAGATTAATGGCTCTCCTGGGAACCTTCGGCCTAAACATATCACAGAGGGAAACACTCGCCCCACCTTCACCTCAGACCTGAAAGATAAGAAGCCCTGCTGGCTAATGTGCGGTATCAGATGGCAAAGCCCGGACGCCTTTGTCTTGTCACAAAATTTCTTTTGGTTGCTTCACTGAGCAACACTACTTTTAATGCACAGAAGGTTTTTTCAGGCCAAATGAGCTGGGGACCAGAGAGGTGAGAGAGATACCAGGAGCCAGGAATGAATGAGCACCATTGCCTGCTCTCTGCGTAGCCGGATAAATCACAGTGGAGTCCACCCGACCCCCAAATCATCGTCCTGAAAATTATCTGGCACCATCTCGAGGCTGACCCACAGGACAAGAAGGAAATAGGCTTCCAGAAGGGAGGTTTGCATTCGAAGAGCAAAGTGACTTCAGACTCCAAGCGTGTGCGGTTTCATTAGCCGGCCAGTACCTGGACCCCGCCACGCCCCCGCACCCGCTGGCCACTGTGCCGCCACAATATCCTCCGTATCAATGCACAACATGATTAGTGTTTCTCGGCAGCTTCCCGGTTTGCAGCGGCCGCCGTGCTGGTCGGTGCCACTGTGTTTCGCAATTCCACGAATTCCTGCTGGAAGGCTGGTGTAATTAATTCCTGAAGGACCCCAACTTTTATTAGAAGAGCCGGAGGCCGTGTTCAGCACTGGGGAGCTTCTTGAACTTTCCCCAGGCTGACAGTCCATTAATAAGCAGCCTCCTCCACAACCTCGCCGCTGGTTTCTGTTCTCCTGTGCATTTTCATCAAGCAATCCATTTATTAATCTCGTCATTAATCTCGGCAGCGGGCATTGTGTTCCCCAGGTAGCTCTATATTTTTGTCACTGATTTTCAAAAAACTGTTCACCAACTGAAATCACTCAGCTTCCATTGACAATTTTCGTAGGCCCTGGTGGGAGGTGGGACCTTTCTGAAATTATTTGATTCTTACATAAAACTGAGAGTATGATGATTTTCAAGACAGCTTGGAAACCAGATGAGTGAGTGGCAGATGCTTGTGCCAATGAATAAATCCCCAGGATGGGGCCTCACAACTTAGGAATTTCTGCAGACTCAATGCACACCCTGCTGACTCCCAGGCCATCTCTGGGGAAGCATCCCCAGGAGAGAACATCTTAAGGATGTTTCTGCCATCCCCAGAAAGTTGACTTTCTCGAGCACAGGCCTAGGTCTTCATCTACCCATCATCCTGGCAGCTGCTTAATTGTCACTCTGTCCTGCACTGTCCAGTGTGGTGGTCACCGCCACATGTGACTGTCCAGTACTGGAAATGCAGTGCCACACTGAAATACGACTTTGGCTATCCAGGGATCAGTGCAGTACTGTTATGAATTTCATTCTGCCTCATTTTGATGTGAGTAGAGCAAATGCCCCCGTGTGTCTGGCCTATACTATAGTGTGTCTACTGAACACCGTTTGTCATGGGTGTGGGGAACTGGGTGGATCACAGTTCCGCTCTCCACACTTCTGTGTTTTTGTCTGGTAAATGGCCCCATCAGGCTCAGTCAGCCTCATGGGTCTGGGTGCTTCAAGGCCCCTGCGGCTCTCTGAAGAGGACACAGACAGTACACCTTAGTTTTTCCAACAGCACCTCACTACTCCAGGGTGGCCTGAGATCCCTTCAGGTGGATATACAATGACCTCCCCTGGGCAGGCGGGACTGGGGCCTCAAGAGGCACCCACTGCGGGCACCCTGGTGCCCTGCACCTGCCTGGCCCCTGGAGTGCGCTGGTGCTCTTAGGGGGCCTGCCCTCTCCTTGCGTCAGGGTGATGACCACACTGTCCAGCCTGGGGAGCAGCATGGCCAGCCCAGTCTCACTGAGGACTACAGATCCTCTCACCACACTCACATCCCCCAACCCTCCTGGGAGCTCAGCTCGATAACCTCCAGCAGCAGACAGAAGCAGAGGAGGACTTTCCAAAAACCCCAAGCTCCTGACAGGTTTCCTGGAGGCAGAGGGAGGGCCAGAGCCTGGGACCCACATCCTGCCTTTTGCTGGCTGGGAGGCCGGTCGGCACCACCTTTGCCTGGAGAAGGAGACAGCAAGGCCTGTGGCTGCTGCTGGCCAGGAGCTCCAACCGGAAACCCCAGGCCCAAGCACAGCCAGCTCAGAGGCCCTGGGCAATGGGTCACAATTGGCTCACACGTGGACATCCACGGAAAGGGGTGGTGCTCTCAGGGAAGACATGGCTGCTGGCAAGTGAAGCAGCCAATTGTTACGTGACACTGAGGGTGCCAGGGAAGGTCAGGTACTCATCCCACGAACCCCAGCATCACGTAGGCAGCCCCAGCCGTGCAATTCTCCCCTCCCAGCCCGGAAGCCGACTCTGAAACCACAGGCTGCCAAAATATATTCCAAGAACCAGCGTGGCCTTTGTGTGCTTTTAAGCAGATCTAAAAAAAAAAAAAAAAAAAAAAAAAAAAAAAAAAAAAAAAAGTCACTTGTTTCCTATGCAAGACGCGTTTGAAGTTAGAGGTAAGGAAGAGAAGGAAGAAACTTCTATAACCGGGATTAATGCAAGTTGGAGTAAAATGAAAGGAAGTCAGCCCGAGCAAAGAGGGGAACTTAAAAGGAAATCGGTAGTAGATCATATAGAGTTTGTTTTGGCCTGGACCACAGTATGACTGAGCTCTCGACCTCTGCACAGAAAGAAAGGAAGAAGAAAACCTCAGCTATTATCTAGCGGGCTCCTCCCTCTCCCAGGCCTGTGTGACCCCAGTGCACACTCATCTCCCAGTGCACGCTCATCTCCAAGTGCGCTCCAAGTGTGTCTACAAAACTGTGGGACAGGACAGGAAGGGTCCGCCTTGCTGCTGGAACAGGACCCCCTGGCCAGCTGAGCTCAGGCTGCCCCTGCCACGTGGCTGCGTCTGCTCTGCAGGCCTGACCCGTGGGGTCTCGGTAGAAGTAGTCGCCTGGCACCTGTGGAGACGTCCACGCAGGGACTCATGCAGTCCGTGCCCCGTGCCGCTCAGGCCACGGCAGGCGGTCGTTTCATACTGCTCTCCTGCTATTGGGACCCCTCTCACACTCACAGCTAAGTGGAAAAATCCCACCGGACTTCTATTTCTACTCATAAACAGTTGGTCGGCACTGGAGACACGGGACTATTCGGAGCTCCATGTTTCCCCTCCCTGGAGACAAATTCAATACCACCTTCCTGGAAACAGCGTCAGGCCACCACCGCCCACCCTGCATGCCAGCCAATGTAGCACTTCATGGAGTGGAGACAGTGTGTGCCAGTCACACGGCTGGGCACGCGAGTAGGATTTAATGTTTTGAGCTCATGCAGCAATGGGGAGCTGCGCGGAGCAGGCTGCTGCCCCCGAGGAGCACGCACCACGCAGGGCTGCGCTGTGCGCTGCTGAAGCTCCTGCTCCAAGTGCAGGCAGGGCAAAGGGAAAGATGATCTCACTGGCAGCACAGCAACCAGAGAAAGCTGTGCAAGCCTAATAAGAGAGCAAAACACAGGAGGAAGACTAGCCTGTCTCCTAAAGACGGGGTTCTACGCTGCCAGACAGCAGGATAAACTGGAGACGTGAGGCAACACGAACACACCTTGAAATAAATCAGATACACGAGCTTAAGCATTGCATGTCTTCTCTTACATGAGAAACTCCAACTATAAGCAAATTAAAGACCAAAATAAAAGACAGAGGTTAGAAAACAGAAATAGATCTTTTGTAAAAGAAACCAAGACATGGGGAGATGGAATGAAAAGAAAGATGTGCTAAGTACAGGAACCGACTGGCCACCGTGAGAAGGTGACTGACCAAAATAAAGTGCAAAGGGTGTAACAGGAAAGCAACTCCCTGCTGCAAGTTTTCAGAGCAGCACAAGGCTCACCCCACAGCAGGGTGCCAAGGAGGTCAGCAAGTGAGCAGCAAGGGGTAGGGGCCAGGTAGAGCCCCACTGCCTCTGCTAGCAGAAATGAGGGACTCAGGGAGGCTGAATGTGGGTACCCACCCCGGGAGATCAGGGGTGGCCTCTGCTCTGCAGTCTGCTCCAGGACGGGATCAGGCTCTCTGCCGGGATCCTCAGGTGCCTGGGCCGAGCTGACCCAGCAGCTCCTGCCCAGTGGTAAAGATGGAGCTGGAGAAGCCTGGAGAGTGAAGGCAGCTTCCTCCCAAGCTGGGGTCCCAGGGGAAACTCCCCTGCTTCCCACAGCACACACAGGGAACATCAGGCCCCAGCCACTGCAATGGGCATCTCTGGAGCCATGGGCAGAACAGACGGACAGCAGGACAGCACAGCTGCGAGACACAGAGCCCACATGTGGGAGCCCAAAGACAGATGCGGTCTCCAGAAGGAGAGCGGCCTGCAGTCTGGAAGCGGAACACCTGTTCTGCCCATCACCCAGTCCCCTTGGGACCTCAGTTTCTCCTCTGTAAAGACGCCAATAACCCTGCCAGCTGTGGTCACATAGGCCAAAGAAGTCCACATGGGCAAGGCGCTAACAATGGCTTGCAGAGCACCTCGGGGAGCCGTCCCATTGACCATGATCAAGGCACCAGCAGGCTCTTGAGCCAGAGGCGGAAAATCAAATCCCAGCTCTCATTCTTGCTGGCTGTGTGACCTTGAGCAAGCTGCTCAAGTCCTGAGCCTTTTCCTCATGTTACGCACCTCTTGGGCAGTCAGCAAGGCTAAGAACACGTGAGGGGAAGTTAGTGCAGCCTGCTGAGTGTGTGGGTGACTCCTACGTCCATCCCCCCATCGTTACTGGAGGTCACTGGCCAGCATCCAGTTTCAGAGTCCTTCCTGACCTTGGGGCAAAACTCTCTCTGACTTCGATACTTGGGGGAGGCTGGGAAGACCACCCCAACTTCCCGCTTGGGTCATTGTCCACTCATTTTGTGCAGCCCACACCCACATGCGTGCAGCTCTGATCTGGTCCGATAGATCTGTCACCTGATGAGGAGGGGACTGCAGGGCACCAGGGAAGAGCCGGTTTTGAGGCTTTGCTCACAGCAGGCTCACACCAGACATTGCTTCCTGCATTCCAGGTCCCAACACCGGGAGGCTACAGGAGGGGGAGCTCTGCAGGAGGGGGTGCTGAGCCGCTATCTCACTGGGTCATAGGTCAGCCTTTCCTAGGAGCCCCCAAAACTTTAGAAAGGAAAAGAAATAGACGCAGGGGCCAGTGAGAGCACCCCCAAATAGCTACAATTCAGAAGTTAAGCCACCAACCAATTAATTGACACCTATTTTACTGTTTTTCAAACACTGCATTCACAAAGACATTTAAATGTACCTCAAACTTTTTTTGAGGCAGGGGAAAGAAAGAAACCATGGAATTGAGTGATGTCACTGCACAGACACCATCTGAAGACACTGCCGCAGGCAACCTTGGCAAAGTACTCTTGGAGGTGCAGGTCACACAGGGCAGGTATGGTCTCAGCATGAACCTCCCTAGCCTGGACACTCCTCCTATGGCCTCAGATTCTCTTCTGAGATGCTTTGGAAATTTGCATGAAGAACAAAGTAGTATTTTTATGAGATTCGTGTCAAAACGAGAGCAGTTACAGAAAGGAGGAATAAGCAAACATTTCTTAAAGACGGGAAAGACAAAAAGTTGCTTCCTACAGTGGCCGACAAGAAAATGCGAACGTTTTGTGCACAACATGCGATCAGGCAGGGGTGTAGCTCAGCCCACTGTTCTGGCAGGGCAATGCCCTGGATCCAACCTCCAGTGCCACAGAAACAAAACCAAACCCAGGGCTCAAGGATGGAGCATGTGCTTAGCATGCAGGAGGTGTATATCACAGACACCTGCAAGGACTTTCCTGCTTCCACAGTGATCACAAACTTATCCCTAAAATCCATGCAGGGACTCCTTGTGGGGAACAGCCATTAGAACAGAAGTTTATCCCATGCTTCTCTTTCTGGGCTGCTCATGTCCTATCAGGGGCCCACAAAACAAGGCTGGCCTGGCAGGGAATGGTACAGGGTTTACGCAGAGCCCAGCATCACCCCTGCAAGGGGCTGCACCCCCAGGGGCCCTAAACCCCTGAACAATGCCCACTCCCACACTAAAACCTTCCTCTTGCTTGGAGTGAGATAGGGGTGAGAGCACAGAAGCCAGGAGGAAGGGGTGGGCCAAGGTCTTCCCGTGGGAACCATTCCAGCAGTCTCCCCCAGCTACCTGGACAACAGCAAGGACACCCTGACCTGGGACAGGAAAGAGAGTTCTAGAAGATGTCAGAGGCCGCTGCACCGTGCTGGGGGAGGAGGTAGGGGGAGCAGAGGGGGCAGCCACTCCTCTGGAGCCCCAGAGGGAAGGCGGGCAGGCAGGCGTGGGACATGACACTGTACTGGGACAGAGCTGGGTTCCAGAAGGGAGGGAAGGAGGAAGTGGCCCAGCACTGCAGCCTGCACATTTCTCGGCCTCCTCCCCCAGAACAGTGAGCAGATTCTGCTATCCGATTAGACCTTTTCAAGGATTGCACAGCCTGCGGGCTCAGACCTCAGACACAGAGGAAGCCACTGCCACAGGAATCTAGAAACTCCCAGGAAACCAAGTGCTCAGGCTCAGAGCAGGTCCGGCGTTGGTTGCCGCCTCCACCTGCGGTGGGGCGGAGGTCTCCCCCCCCCCAGGCAATGCTCTTCCTTCCTTCATTACCTCACTGCCTCCTTCCCTTGACGTCAGCCCTCCGCCCTGCCGGTGCCTGCTAGGAGGGGCTAGGGGCAGCCAGTGTCAGGACCCTGCCGCATGGGGGAGGAGCGGGGAGCTTGGCAGCTCCCGGCTCCAGCACCCCCCCCAGCCCAGGCGCCCCCAGCCACGGTTACCAAGCAACCCTATCAGGACACAGGACGCATGCCAAGTTCACCTAAAGTTGAAGAATACGTTTGGGGGAGAGGAGGTGAAGGGGAGTGAAGGGGAGAAGGAGCTGTGGGCTGGGTAGCAGGGGCACGCACAGGTGGCACAGGGGCCCACCTGCCCCCACCAGGCTGGAGTGGCCTCCACGCGAGCACGGGGGGGTGGGCGGGCAGGACGGGGCACAGCCACTGTGCAGTCGAAGCAGCTCCCTTCCAGGAGCTGAAAGTGGGGGTTCCCGCACTGGCCCTAGAAAGTTAAAAGCCCTTGCAAGGCCAAAGCTCAGGGCAGCAGCTGTCCTCATTTGCATCCAGCTCAGGAACCGGGAGGCGAGGGCTTTCACTCGCCCATCAGGACCACGCCAGGCGCCTGCCTCCTACCTGCTGTAGGGAGTCCGCAGCAGCAGCGCCTGGCTGCCCGCACAGCTGTCCGTGGGCGTGTGGCAGCCGTAGACCGGGGGTGGCATGGAGTACTGCTGCTCGCCTGTGGAAGGAGGGAACAGAGCGGCCAGAGTGAACTGCCTGCGGAGTTGTGGGGAGAAGGGCGCAGGGGAGACGCAGGGCACCCTGCACACAGCCCCGACAGATGGGGGGCTGAGTGCTTCTCACTTTGTGCGGCTTCGGCCGCCACAAGTGCTCTGGTTATTTGGTGCTTTCCTGACATTCTTGGGTGGAGGGGGATCCAGAGAGAACCTGCGACCCGCACTTACCCAAAGTCCCCTGCTGCCCCATGGGGTCCTCGTGCTTGAAGGAATGGCTGGGCAGCTGCCCTGCGTGGTGTGAGGGCGTGTGGCTGTAGCCGGGCGTCCCATCGAAGGTGACTGTGCTGTATCCTGTATTGGTGCAGAGAGAAGCGCAGGTCAGCGGCCAGGGAGACGACGAGGAACCCGAGTGTGAGCCACGGGGCTTCCGTCACTCCAAATGGTCCTCAGCAATCGGGGCCTCCAGTGAACTTGAGACTGCTCTCACTTCCCTACCACACCTGGCTCTGTGTTTCCAATCTATTTCTGCCCAGCTTCGGAGGGGAACCAGCCTCTGCACCCACCTCAAGGAGTCCAGTGCAAAACTCCTTGCCCTTGTCTGAGAAAGTCATTCTCCCTGAACCCAGCACGGGGCTCTAGGCAGCAGGCTGTGCTGTCCTTCAGGGGCTGGCTGGGGTTCCCCAGCCCTGGCTTCGGAGGGGACAGAAATCACCAGGGATCTGGTCTGGAAGGAAATGAGAGGGAGAAGTGGCCACACTCCCGTTCCAGGGCCCCACCACAAAAGTGCACAGACACTGTGACTCCTTGCCCTCGACAGCATGCCTGAAGTTCATGCTCTCAATCCTCCTCACCCACTCCAAGGTGGGAACCAGTGAAGTGTCTCCTTCAGAGTCTCAGTCTGGTGTGACACCTCGATGTGGTTTTAAACTTATCTCCCAGAGCGGCTGCAGGAACTTCCCAGTGAAGTGCAGCCCTAAAACACCTCACCTGGGGACTGGACTTCAAGCTAGGGGCTTGCCTCCAAGTCTCCAGGGAATGATACATTCCCTCCCACCCCAGGCCACGGAGGCCCCAGTGATTTCCCCTTCGTAAGTGCCCAGGACCCCAAATTCTAAGGCAGAGGGTCTTCCATGCCCGCTTGCACCTTGAGGCCTGCGGTCCAGCCTCTTCGAGGGTGAGAGTCTTGAGAGCAGTCCTGAACAGAGCCAGAGGCTGCTTCCCCCCGTCTGGGTTCTAGCCTTATTCAGGCGCTTCTCTCTGACTGGCCTAAATGTCACCCACTGTACACTGCAGGCTGGCGACAGAAGAAGCCACTGGGTCTCACTCTCTGCACAATCTCAAAGGCCTCCATTTCTTGCCCACTAAGTGGGCAGAGATGCCCAGTCCCATGTACACCCTGGAAGTGGGTGGGCACCCAAGGGCCCCAAGGCTTGCTCCTGTCCTAGAGTTGTGAATCTGCTTAGGCAGAAAACCTGGTTCTGGGAATCCGATTTTGCTAAAGATAAACCAAATTTCTGAAAGGATTTTTTAAATTAAAAAAAAAGAAAAGTATAAGCAACCAAGAGAAATTTTTTTCCTAGAAAATTTCTCTAGAGGAGCTCTTCTACATTTGAACTAAGGAGCAGGCAGGTCCCATAAGGGTCCCAACCGAGGTCCCACAAGCTCTTGGAGTGGTTGACACCAGGCCGGGGCAGCACATCCCGGGCTGCAGCTCAGTGCCCCAGAACCCTGCCTTAGGATGCCAGTACCCCTAGATGGGATACAGACCTTGGTGGCCGGGCAGTCTCCAGATCCTCCCTGGATTTGCAAGGAGTAGGAGGGAGACTAATTAGCTGCACTGGATTGGGCTGATTAGAGAGGCTTCCTCTGGTCCTAGGGCTCTGGTGCAGTCTTGGGGAGAGAGACCCAGCTCCAAGGTAGCTCGCATCTTTCCCGCAGTGAGTCTGCTGCACTGTGTGGGAGCAAGCCCCTAACCGAGCTTGCAGGGACGCAGTGCTTTAACCCAGAGGAGCTGGGACTCGGGAGTGGCTGGAGGGCACAGAGACGAAAGGCAGGGAGGCCTGGAAAGGACGCCGCAGCTGAGGGCACAGGGGAACTTCTCCCTAGGAAATAAATACTGAAACACCATCTCCATCTCTGGCACCTTTGGTCCTTGGACAGGGCTGGTCTGAGCGATCCTAGGATATCTGGGTGAGACCCAGGCGCAGTCTTGCACTGGGGTTCAGAGCTCCAGGGTGCTAGGGGAGTCAAGAGGGGTTAGAAAAGCCCTCCCTGCCTCTGAAGGGTCCTACTGGGATCCCCGAAGGTAACCCCAGTGTGGTCTGAGTTTCAGCACCAAGAAAGAAATCCCGTGCGGAAATGAGTGCCTGCCGAGACAGCCTTGGGGTTTGGCAAAACCCCCTAGGCCAGTCTGTCGGCATGTCACAAAGGAGGTGCTCCTGTTTGCTAACGAAATGTTCCCAAGCTTGGGCTGCCGGCTGTCTCTAAGAAACGAATAAAAGGAATGGGCTGGTGAGAAACAGGGGCGGGAGTGTCAGGCAGGGGTCTTGCCTGCGGCTTGGTGAGGCAGCCCTAGTGGAGATAGGTACCAGGTGGCCTGGAGTTTGGCCCTGGGCTGCTACTGGAAGACACCTTGGCTTCCATGTGCCTGCATTCCTGGAAGAGTCTCAGGGACCCCAACGAAGAAATGTGGACCCTGCAAGGGCAAGGCCCCGCCCTTGTCGCCAGGATGGGTGAGGGTTTGAAGGGCTCCTCCGGAGCGCACCTCTCTCCAGCTGTCAAGTTGAGCCCAAGGCCAAGCCAGTTCAGGCCCTTCCCTTTATGTTTCTATCAGAAGAGAATGGGAGGACTGAAACCTGCCTACCCTGGGGGTACCTCTCCTTTCCGTTTCTCCCTGGTGGACTAGGAGAGAAGACCCACAGATGCGCCTGCGACACACACTTGCTGGCGGCGCCTGCAGGGACCTGGGAAGACTGGGTGCTGCTGGCTTTGCATTTGAAGTAGGAGCCCAGGAAGTCAGATCAGAGCTCCAGACTGCTCACCTCAGCTTCCCTCTCACAGATGAGCAAACACAAGCCTCCAGATTCAGTAGCACCTGCCTCCTAAATAAAGGAGGCTCCTTAGGAGAACCCGATTCTCTGCTATTCACACTGGGATGGCCCGATCGATGCTCTGGAGTACAGAACATTTAATTCAGGAAAGTACAGGAAAGCCGGGCTCTGTGGTGTGTGCCTGTAATTCCAGCAATCAAAAGGCTGAGACAGGAGTTCCAGGCCACCCTCAGGTATACAAGAAGTTCAAGGCCAGCCTCGACCAACAGCAAAATCCCGTCTCAAAAAAACAAAAACAAAAACCAAACAGAACTTTATAGAACCTTCTTAGACCTGATGGGGTGGGGTTCCTTAGTGCGACTACACTCCAGATGCTGTGAGTGGAAAGAGGGTTTTTGGTTTCCATCAGACTTGGGGGGCAGGTGCTCCTAGCTGGGTGCAGACAAGAATAGGTGAGAGAACAGAGCCAAGGGTACTGGGGGGGGGGGCTCATCATCTCTCCCAGCAGCCTGCACAGTGCCCCTTCCGCCTCACACACCTCACCAACAGCGACTCCTGGGCCTGCACGAAGTTTTGCTCCATGAAAAGTGTGGCCACTGTGTTGTTAAAACATTTGCTAAAATATCGAATCAAACCAAATTAGATTTTCAACAGCACAGAAATCAAAGGAACTCAACAAAACAGTGGCTTCATGCTTTTCCAGTTCCTGTTGGCCTGGAAGAAAGGCCAAGGGTGCTGGGGCAGGGCACGGGACAGGGTGCTGAGGTCCTCCTGGCTCTCACCCCATTTTGGGAAACTCTTCCCGGCTCAGACCTGCACTAGCACGGAGAGGGGTGCTCTCAGTGTGCAGAGGAGGGTGCTCCGGCCTGGTGCTGCCGCTCACAGCAGGACACAGTTCCACCAAGCTTGTGGTCCCTAGGTGAGTCGCTTCTATTCCTGCAGCCTGCGTGGAGGAGTCCCACTAGACTACCATGCCCAAGACTTGCAGCAGACTCTGTCCCCAATGCCATCCAATTGCAGGGGCTGATGTCTTCCTGCGCGCCCAGCGTGGAGCAGCCTCGCGCCAGAACCCAGAGGTTCGCGGGTGCCGCGGCGCGTCGGTCCCACACCGGACGCTCGGCCCGACGCCCGAGAAGCCCACAGCTGGCTGTAAAGCAGCGGTGCCCTTGAGGAAGAAAACCTGTTCCCAGGCAGAGCCAGCCCTGCAAGGTGCCGCTTTCTTCTCCCTAAAGACGCGCATCCGGGAAGTTCCCGGACTCAGGGGCCCCAGGCGCCTCCCGGCTCCTGCGAACCGTCGGGCAGCGGAGGGGGCCGAGAGCCGGCGCGGCGCGCAGCACCGCCGCCCCGGGAAGGAGGCGGAAAGGCCGGGTCTGGGGAGGGAGGGAGCGGACCCGGGAGCGGCCGCAACCGCGCGGAGCCCACTCACCCTGGTTGCGGATGGTGGGCTGGCTCTCCAGGCAGCTGGGCAGGTAGGGCGCGTTGGGGAACATCCGGGCCTGGCCCGAGGACGCCTGGGCGGGCGGCGGGGGCCCGAAGGGTCCGTAGCGGCAGGCCCCGGCCGTGCCGGTGAACTGGCCGGAGAAGTGCACGGTGAAAGCGCTCAGGCACTGCTCCTCGTGCGCCTCCGCGCCGCCCCAGCTCGGCTCCTGCTTGATGAAGGAGTGCGGCGGCGGCGGCGGCGGCGGGGCGGGCGGCGCGGGGCCGCCCAGGGAGCCGTAGGCCGGGGCGCCTGGGGGCGCGAAGTCCAGCACCGGTGCCCACTGCGCGGCGCCGCTCACGGGCAGCGAGCAGCCGCCGCCGCCGGCCAGCGAGGGCACCGCGGGCAGCAGCGCGTTCAGGTCCCGCACGTCGGAGCCCATGGGTGCCGGGCTGCTGCTCCGGGCTGAGGACGCTGGGCGCCCGGTGCCGCCGCTCCTGGCTCGGCCCCGACGCCGCCGCCCGGGTCGCAGGCTCGGAGCGGGCGCGCACGTGGACGCCGGCGCCGCAGGGGAAGCGCAGGACCCTGACTCGCTGCGCTCCAGCCGCAGGCGACGAGCGAGTGGGAGGCGGCGGGCTGCAGAGCCGCGGGCGTGGGCGCTGCCTTGAACTCCTTACCCCGGCTGCCTGGCTGCCCCCAGCTTCCCAAAGCTCAAATACGAGGGGCCGGCGCCGGGGGAGGAGGAGGAGCCAGCGGGTCCGGCCGCGCCATTCACACCGCGCTGGCCCGGCCGGCGACGCGTGCTGCTCCCGGGGCGCCCTCGGCGTGGGCGGGGGCGAAGGCGGGGGTAGGGGTGAGGGACGGACCCCAGGACACCCCTCTTTCCCTCCCCCCCTTTCCCTTTCCCCGGCCACCACCTCTCCAGCCGCCGCTCCCTCTTCTTCCCTTCCAGCCAGCACAATGGGGGCTCGAGGCCCGGGCGGCCCCTCGGGTGAGCCAAGGGTCCCACGTACGAGGGCGACGGGAGGATCGCGGGGGCGGCGGATCCGGGGGGCGGGCTGCAGGGAGGGGAGGGGGCTCCGAAGGGGTGGGACTTAGGAGCGGTCCCAGCGCTCTTGGGGCTCGGGAACGACGCCTCAACTCCGCGCCTGCATCTCGGGGTTTCTGGGGAGGGGTCAGCCCCGGTCGGGATCCGCGGGGAAGACGCCCTGGGTGGGGGGCCCGCGGGGCGTCGCCGATCGTTTGGTAGGGTACAGGGTGAAGAGGGCCGCGGCGGAGTCGGAGGGGCTCAGCTTCTTCTTGACAAGGAGCATCTGGTACGGCCGAACCGGGAAGCGGCCGCTCGCGGAGTGGGAACTAGGGGCCGCCCGGGCCGCAGCGCCCGGCACTCTGCAGAGGAGGAGAGAAAACCGGGATGTTGAGCGCGAGGAGGCGCCTGGAGCGCTCCGCGCGCGCCAGGGTTCGGCATCGGGGTCCCTGGCCAGAAAGCTCAAGCCGATCTGGTGACCTGGAAGTGGGGACCCCGGCCTCTTGGCTCGAAGGAGGCAGCGCGCGCCTTTGGGAATTCGGAGCGCGTGGCTTCGCCAAAACAGACTCCAGCTGGTGTTCCCGGGAGCCCCACGCCTGGGGGAAGGGGTCGGGCCTGCTTTTAGTTTGGTTTTCAGTTTTGTGACGTGCGTTTCTGCGGCTCGCAGAAACACCCAGGAGCTCCGGGAGGCGTCGGCGACGGCGCAGCCTGGGACGGCCAGGCGCGGGCGAGAAGCGGGGCACTTGGGGCCCGCACGGGCTGGCGGGGAGCAGCGCGGGTCTTCCCGCCCAGCCTGCCGCGCGCAATCGAGATCGTTGCAGTTTTGCAAAGAAACGGAGCGTGCCCGTGAACTGATTTATGGCTTTGGTTTTCCCTGGCATGCTGTCTACACTGCCACTGCTGGGTTCTGGCTGTGACCAGAAGCTTCGGATGTTCAGGCCGAATGCGATGCCCTCCTCGGCTTAGGGTTCAAGCCCCTGAGACGCAGGAGACCCCGCGGGTCAAGGCTGGCAACAGGAGTTGCGTGCATCCCTCCTTCCACCTTCCCGCGCTGCTCTCGAGCTCGGCTTCTCACTTTGCTTTCCCTTCACTCAGAACCGTTTTCTGGTTAAGAAGCGAAGGGTATCTAACTGCTACACCCTGCAAACACACTCGGAAGGGAAAGGTAACCTGCGGCGAGGCGCGGCTGCCAGCGGCACGCACTGGAGCCTGGTTGGACGCACCGGCCCCTACAGGTGATTCCGCAAAGGCCAGGTTGACCCCAGAGCGGCCCAAATTCCTGTCTCTCCCTCCTTCCTCCTCACTTCTGATTTCAACTTGGAATTCGTTTTTTTGTTTTGTTTTGTTTTGTTTTGTTTTGTTTTGTTTTGTTTTTCTTAACAAGGACTCAAGTTAAGTCCTCCTGGGGAGCGCTGTAGGCAAAAGCAGAGTTGCGAAGGAGAGGCGGGGTTGTGCTCTTTACTCCTCTTTGCAAGCTTTTCTCAGAGGGGTTGTAATCAGGAGCGCGCTGGATCCCAAGCCACGCGGTTTTTCCCGGAGTGGCGGGTGAGCGTCAGTAATAGGCAGGAGAGGAGCTCCCAACAACTGAGGACCCACGACCCTGACATTTGTTTTCTCAGGGTCCCTGATAGCGGCAGAGAAAGTGCAGTTCCCTCTGGACCGCAAGGTGCCTGGGCCCCTGCCCCACACTGGCCTGGGCAGGGAAGTGAGTGCCACTTTCTTTCTTCTCAGGGTCAGTGCCGTGGGCTGGTGGGCTGCAGCGCTATGGGAAGTGGAGACCTTTTCTCCCACCTGTGCTCCTTAGCTCTCCAGGCCGTGGGTTGCTGTTTGGTCCCCTCGCTCACTCCCCTGTCTGTGACCTGGGCACTGTTGGCATGAGGCCCCTTGAGTCACCTACCTGTGGGGCTGGGGATGAATCTCCGTACTCTAAGGGGAAGGAACCCCAGGCCCAGACCGAGCTGGAAAAGGGGCCAGGGACCAGTGGTCCGTTTTGGGCTCAGCTTCGTGGCCACCTGAAAGCCATTCAGCCCTCGAAGGCAGGATGTCCATCCTGGGCCTCAGTTTCCTTACTGTGAAGCGAGGAAATGCGGCGGTAGGTAATACCCACCTCATGGTGCTGTCCTGCTGATTTGGGAGCAGGTGTTGGGCTCTAACAGTCCATAAACCTTGATTTTTTACTGCAGTCATTGTCTAGACGCAGGTAGCAAAGCCTTAGCAGCAAAGCTGTGACCCTGCCTCATGCAGCGGTGGCTTTAGCCACCATCCTGGCCTCTCTGCAGCTCATGGACTGGTTGGGAAGCAGAGATCTTAGACACCCTGGGGTAGCTTCCACACCTTGTAATGTGTGTGGCCCAGGAAGCTCAGCTAACATGATAGGCAGAGGCAGTGAGGACTTTTACCCACTACCAAAGGCATTCTTATGTGCCCAGCCTCAGCTGTGGCCCAGTACCCCGGTGCCCATCCCTTTGATGCCTGCTACCACCCTAAGTGAAGAGGAGCCCTGTGCTGGCTGATGCCCACCTGGGGCATAGGCTGACTGGAGCCTGGCCATGCCCAGGACCCTACTCTATCAGGGCACAAGAATCAACCCCCCCCCATCCTGTGCAGTTACCACTGGGCACTAGGAATCTTAAAATTTTTAAGTGAACAAGGAAGGCGCCCTTCTCTCTCCGTTTGCCAGTCTTCTCCGTCTTTATGACCAGTCCCCCACTGCTGTGCTCTCCTTCAGAGACCCTGTGCAGGGGACAGAGCCTTGAACACTAGCAATGCAGGGGTGTGCAGTGGAAGCCCTTTCCCTGCACGAAGCCCGGTTCCTCTGTCCCGGGTGAGCGCCTGCCCGCCTGGAGTCGCATTGAGAGGATTCCACTACGCTGCCTCTATTATTATACCGTAAATCTCTTTAAATTCTGGAACTAATTACGTAGAGGATATGTCTCAATTTGTTCTGCATTGATGCCGCAGCGGGGACGGGGGCCAGGCCATGGCTGCTCAGATACATGGGCCCATGAAATTGATGAACTGAGAGCTGCTTCCAGCCCTGCGCGCACCATCTGGAATTCCAGTCTGAGGTTACAATTAGAACTCCTGACCCCAGATTCAACTTTGCAAACAACAGAGAAAATGGGGAAAAGGAAAAAAAAAGAGAGAGAGAAGAAAAGAAAAAAATTTATTCTGCACCTGTAAAAAAAATCCACACACGATCTTAAAATCTGTCCATCTTAGCAAATTCTTTCCAAGTGTTTCTTTTGTGTTTTTAACCTATAAAAGATAATGGAGTATATTTTATAGGCTGGGTTTTATCTCATCCCCTTTCCCAACTGCACTCGGCACTTGTCAGCTTTCTCTTGGCCTTGGATTTAATTACACAGAACCAAAACATTCCCCAGTAGATTAGCTCGCTAAATATTTTTGGCACTTCTATGGTTTCCCCCCTTGAGAATTGGATTAATCCCGGATATCTACCTGCTTCTGGGAACCTTTCTCTCTGCCCCCTTGACTGCTACTTGGTCTTACCCATAGTAATTGGACCTTTTATTTGGGCCAATGTCTTCTTTCTTTAGCAACTTGCTCCTTTCTTCTCCTCTCACTTTGACTCCCTGAAGCAACGAAGAAGCAGACAGCCCTGGAGAGTCTGCTAAATTTATTAGCATAGAGGCTTGGACCAGGCGGGGTGTAAATCACTCTGACAGATTAAGCCATAAAGCATCCAACGAAGTCAGCCCCTTGCCAGGGTCCTGGTGTGTAAATGTTCGTATAAAACCAGGTATCGGTATCATCTTCCCTGTGAGTGTGTCTAAGGGTGCCCGGGTGCTGCCTGAAGCCCGGGGGCAGGGTGGGGCGGGAGGGGATCCAGTGTGAAACCGGGCAGCACCCTGGCAGCAGCTCCCAGAGTGAGCTGGGCGGGTGGTGTCTCCACAGCTCAAATTTGGAGTTTTTGGTGAAAAAGAAACGCAGATGTGTGCGCTGAGCAGCAAAAGCTTAGGGGAAAGAAAGAAAAAGGCAAAAGACAAGTGTTTTCCATAGAACGAAACCCCAATCCCAGGCTGGTTTGACTTCACAAAACTCCAGTCCTTTGCATAGCTAAGTGGCTGTCTCGGGGAGCACCTGGCCGCAACGGGGGGCGGGGGGGAACAGTGCCGGCTGGCAAGGACACAGTGCCCAGGCGGTGGGCGGAATCCAGAAGGTTTCCTCCCAGACCAAGCTTCCCAGGACGCCCAACCCAGGGCTCTCTGAAGTCGGGCAGATGGGGCAGTCTTCGCCTGTTAGAAAAGATTTTCCTAGGGCTCCTGTGAAAGTTCAAGGTGTCACAGGGAAAGCAAGGGTTCCCCACGCCCTGCTGTTTCCCCAACAAAGGGAGCTCATCCCCTCCCCCCAAGTCCTATCCTTGGGGTCACTTTTGGGGTCCAGCACCCCAGCAAAGCTGGGGACTTGGGACCCCACCCTCTCCCTGAGCACCTGTCTGGTTGGGAGAGGTCCTGAGGCCAGTGCCAGGCTGCAAGGATTGAAGGAGGCTTCGTCCTCTCTCCTTTGCCTATGGGTGTTAAAGACACCTCAGATTCTGTGTTCTGATAAAACTGAGTTAATTCCGGCACCATGACTGACTAGGTGACCCTCATGATAACCGGGCAGCCCTGCCTGCTCTTCCTCGAGGTGAAGCAGCAGCAGCACTTACTGGACCTGACAGAGACCCCTGGGGGAAGGAAGAAGCCCTGGGGAGTGGTGGGCTCTGTGCTACCCAGACCTAAACCGACGCTCCCGGGCCAGGCGCTCTGAGGGAGCCCTCTCCACCCTTGTGCCGTGGCCGGGAAGGCGGAGGAGCAGCCTCTGCCTAAGCAAGGCCACGCTGGCTGTCTCTGGGGAGTTGGGGTCGGTCCACCTGTGCCCGGCCCCGAGGTAGGAAACGGGTGGCCACACTGAAAGTCAAGTTTGGGTCCCTGGACCCTGGAATCTGCGGGGTACAGGGCTGCTAGCAGAGCCGGTGCAGCCTGGAGGGAGAGTCCTGGGCTCAGTATAAAAGCCTCTGGGGAATCCTGACCTGGGATGGGAGGAGAAGTCCTAGCTTTGGTGCCCCCTCCTGTGCATCAGAGAGTGGAAGGAAACCAGGCCTGGGGTGGGGGGCGAGTGGGCTGTGAATGTCCTGAGGGAAGGCGAAGCACAGCACTGGCTTGCTGTCTGAGTGGGCTCAGGTGGGAGGTGTGGGCAGACAGGACCCTGCTGACCTCTTGTTTCCCTGCAGCCATAAGTGTGACCTTCCTCAGCCTTAGTTTTCACTGGGGGAGCTTTTTCCTGAAGAATGCTGGGCCTCAGTACTGGCATCTCCTGTGTGGCCTGGGCAGTCTTTTCCTTGCTGTCTGTGAGCCTGACTCTTCTAGCTGTGAAATGGGCGGATGACACCATTGTGGCTCAGAGTGATCTGGAGAGCTGTGTGTACAGTGAGGGTGCAGCAGGGCCAGGGGGAGGGGAAGAGGGACAAGGGATCAGCCCTTCAGAGCTGGTTGTTGTTAAACCCTGAGTTTGTTTCATGGGGAGTTTTAACCTTGACCTCAAAGAACGGACCAGCTGGCAGCAGCTTGAGTGACAGCAGGGTTCCATGTGGCAGAAACAAGCCTCTGTTGTTTGCAAGCCCAGTGACAATGCTGGGAATTGCTTTCTTTCATTTATGAAAACTTTGCAGCCCAGGGGTTGACAGTGTGTTGCCTGTGTGTGTGTGAGAGAGAGAGAGAAAGAGAGAGAGACTGGGGATTGCAGAGCCTTCACACTGAGTTTTATCCCAGCTCCATTTTGTTTTGTTTTGTTTTGAGACAGGGTCTCCCTAGGCTCTAAGTAACCCGACTGGATTTGAAATTGTCATCTTCCTGCCTCAGCCTTCCAGACTGCAGGGCTAACAGATGTGAACTACACCAGGCTCATTTTTTGCCTTTTGGCTCTGAGGCCTTTAGATTAAAATTTCAAACTCCATTTCTTTCCAGCGGGTGTCTTTGCAGAACATCCAGTTTAAGTCAAGGACTCTGGTAGTCCCAAATTTGCTTTCTTTTTTTTCCCCTAATTTTTCAAAATAGACAGGAAATTGTTTTCAGCCAATAGAGAGAGAAGGCAGTTTGAGCCTCTTCCTGGAGCTGCTTGCATAGCTTTTATTAATAGCTCAGTAAACAGGCTTGAACATAGTATCAGCTTGCTGCTCAAGACATTACAAAGTTTATGAGAAGTTGCTCAAGAAAAACAAGATCCAGTCATTTGAAATCCGATACAGTCAACAGCAAGGGCTCCAAGCCTGTAAATCACAAACAGCCAGAATTCTGCTGTGCCCACTCTTGCAGGGCGAAGGGACCCTCCTCTTTGGGAGAAATTAAGTACGTTTTAGAAAGCTCAGTATCTTTCCCCTTCCAATACAGAGGCTAATTACAAATTTCCCAAGAGATAATAAATACTGAACTCTAATCAACACATGTGACACAAGATAAATACGAAGCACATAATTTAAACTAGATTCCCTGAGCCAGGGAATGTTTATCTTTAATTAACCCCACCTGGGAACAGGATACATAGTATCAGCTATGTTTATTATTTATTCCTGGGTTTTAATTTTGCCAGGAACAGTCTCTGTTTAACCTGCGTCCTAACTTAATTATTGGTTGCTCTGCGTCTACTCCCAAAGTTCTTACCTGGGATTTGATGGTTGGTAAGTAATATTCCACTTCCTTAAAATTGTATTTTATGAAAAAGATTTGAGAAAGGCTTAGAACTGGGTGTGGTAACACACGTGCTGTAACCCCATTTATTCCTGAGGGTGAAGCAGGAAGACTGCAATTCCAAGGCCACCCTGAGCTATTTAGAGAGACCTTGGCTCAAGACCAAAAGGGCTGGGGATGTTGCCAAGTGCCTGCCTGGCACACCTGAGGCCCTGGGTTCTCCCTCCAGTCCGGGATGGGCATAATAAAGGTGAAAGAAAGGAAGAGTTGCTGGGGCCAGGGAGATGAAAAGACTGGGTTAAAGTTAGGAATCGAAGAGTGAAAATAGTATGGCTTAGTGAGGGAGAAGTAACAGTAGCTATGTCCTTCCAGTGTGATAGGATCAGGAAACACAGTTTCTCAGGAGAGGCCAACTTTTGTGGTAGTGAACCTGCAGAGGAGCTCGGCAACCCTAACCCTAACCCTAACCCTAACCCTAACCCTGCAGTGAGGGCCACCAGCGAGCAGCGTCAGCTGTCAGCTCCCTGACCAGTGGTTTCTCATTGTGACCCAGTGGTCACAGAGTGACAGACTCAGCTCTGTGAATGCCTTTGAGGAGGAGCCAGGCAATGGCTTGGTCTCCTAGTTTTCTGGACTTAACTGGACTCTGGACCCCGAGTGTTCACCGGGGACTGCATCCCAACCACTGCCCCTTGAGGCAATTGTCTCACTAAACCATTGAATTGCTCACATTGGGTTTGAATTTGCTGTTCTCCTGCCTCAGCCTCCTAGATTCCTGGGATTACTAGCTTATGCCCTCATGCCCAGTTCCCACCGGTAATTTCTTAAAAGCCTCTTTTCTTCATGAATCATCAAATTTGTGAACCAAAACATGCTCTTCTCCAGAATTTGTGCAGGACCAGGAGAGCGGCTCAGGTGTCTGCACTGGGCAACCTGCTTCCCAGAGACGCCAGACACTGCCGGGGGCCTGTGGGCTGGGAGTGTGCCCGGCATCCAGGGGGAGACAGGCAGACCTGGCTTCTGCTGGGCAAAGGAGAGCTTGATGGAGGAGGGGGCTTGGGCTGGGTCCCCTGCCCCCAGGGAGCTAGTTCACCGTGAGCGCCAGCGGGCAGGTGGGAACGCCAGTGGGGAGCAGACGGGTGTCCTGGCGTGAGCCCCATTGACTGGGCTGTGTCCACCTCCGTGCTGGCCACAGCCACCACGGCAGACACGGGGTTCACTTCCTCTCCGGCATGGCATTGTCTGACCACTCCCAGGACACAGATTCACTGGAACTTGGTTTGCTGTCGCATGAAATTTAAAAGCGGTGCCTACAGAGAAGGCTGACCCACGAGGGCCGGCAAATTCCAGAGCACTGCTGTCAGCGGCCAGCACTGCCGGAATCGCCGGTAAGAAATATGGTTCTGACCCAGGCTCCGTGTCCCGTGCAGAGCGTCCCCTTCTGAGTCACGGAACGCACCATGAGAAAGGACCGCCGAGCCCGGCTGCGACTCTGGCCATCTCTCCCCTCGGAGTGCAGCCAGCAGTGAGCCGCTTGGCCTG